CCTTCCAGCAATTTATACACGTGATAAAATGAAAGCTCCCGGAGTTGTGAAACATGATTCTATTCTGAATGCTGCACAGTTATAGAAAGGCTTTTTCAAAAACATGTTAAGTACGGCTTAGCCAGAGATACATGAAATGAACAAGAACGCTCCTGTGAAAAATCCTTGTCCAGCAAACAGGGTCAAATATTCATTTGTCGCCGTCTAACAGAAAAGAATCCACTTCTTGAAAATTATTTCCTCGCACGACTGCATTCCAAGCCTGGGTTTCTGTCCAACAGTTGTCAACTCGTTACACAGTATGGTAAAGTTTTCAGTCTTGTATACCTTTCTTTTCGAGTGTTTTTGAGAGCTCATCAGCGCAGTATAATCCGATAGTATAATTTGAGCCTTTGATGAGGTCTGCTATTACTCGTACAGTGCAACACGCGGGCTCCGGCATTACAGCTTCATCAGCTGCACGGTGCCCTTTCATCCAGCCAGTTCCCCGAAGAGATATCTTCCATATAGAAGAAATGAGCTCGAAATATTTACACGTACCGTTAGGTGATCAAGTCACCCAACGGGCAGTGTTACACGGTCGATTGCTCGTGACTGCTAGAACGTATATTATCATACCTTTCTTTTCGGCTAACACCCCTATCAAGCAATCTAATGAGCCCAAAAAATCGCTGATTTTATCATTCACTGCGATATGGCAATGTATAACTTAAGCGAGGTGGTTTAGGCCTTCTACGATACCTTGACGGCAATAATGGTGATAGTCCTGCCAGCGACGTATTTTGGTGATATGTCATATCACCTGTATCACCTGTCGTCCCGTTGATCGTCGAGTGACTCGAGCGGGTACCAGCAACTCTTCCATTTTTCCCTATCGCGTGCAAGAGTAGCCCAGTGGGTCCTCCTTGCTCTAGGAATTCGCTGAGCATCATATCTTTCTTCCATCGCTTTCGTGAAGAAATCGGACCAACGGGTCAGTGGTCTTCCTTTAGAGCGCTTGACGTCCCGAGGAATCCAGTCGGTAACGGCTCTCGTCCATCGGTTGTCGTTGAAGCGCATCACGTGTCCGGCCCACCTTATTTTCGATATCCTGGCGTGTAGAACGGCATCTCTGATTTTCGATCGTTGACGTAGGTCGGAAGTTCGGATCCTTTGTCTCATTTGCGAAATACGAGATACTCCTAGCATTGACCTTTCGACTGCGCGTTCGATAACGGCAAGTGATCTTTCATCCTGCTTACGTAGCGACCAGGTTTCTGCTGCATACGTTAGGGCAGGGATGATTGTTGAGTCGAAAAGGTGGGCACGGAGTCGGATGTTTTTTGTCGTCTTCACTACATCTTCGATGCTCTTAAACGTTCCCCAAGCCGCTCGTTTTCTCCTGCTCAACTCTGGAGCTAGGTCGTTCATCATGTTGATTTCACGACCTAGATAGACGTAACTAGGTGAACAAATATGACGCCTGGGTCCTTTACAGCTCGAATATTTAATCTACAAAGAAAATTCATGCTCAAGCTTTTCAAAGTCAATTTTCGTCATTAACAGAAAGATCTTCCCAATTTCTGGGTAATATTGAATGCCATCGCAGAAGAAATTTGGTAAGTAAAATTGGCACAATCTGGTAAAAATTCTTCCAAAATTTGCTGATTTGTAATTTGAATTTGATAGTTTCAAGGGTAATCTGACGGTGCAATTTTGGAAGAGTAAGGCGGGTAAGGCAAAACCTCCTGCTATCTCTCACTTCGGCTCCTTTAAGGCGTTTTCGATCGGTTTTTCCAGCATGAGGCCAAGTGTTATCATGCAGCAGAGTCATTTTCTCGTACATTACGGCCATACCGGTCCTTTGATTTGCATTCATCCTCTAATTCGATTATTTGTTGTTAATAAAATGCTGCAAACCTTCCCACCAGACTTCAAGAGGTCTTAGTAGGGACGGTTTTCTCAGCCCACCAAATGCGCCACAACCTTTCCTTCTGTGATATTCCGATTTGCAGTAGACTTTGCTTGTTGCTCAGGGTCGGTCTATGACCGGTTGAGCTTTGGATTGTCAAAATAAATCTACTTTTCGTTTCAGGTCACTATGAGATGCAAAAAGTCTTCTTTATCGTCGACGACGGTTTTCTTCAAATCAAACATGGAAATCGAATTTCTCCGCGAATAACGTTTACGGATAGGAAACTCGTCACCTTCAAAGTCTTTCAGAAACCGTCATGTAGAATATTTTGCACATTAAACGTTCACATAAATAGCTTCATTAACGCACCTTCATGCAGAATGAAGAGTGTTTACAAATCTTTATGTTTACCTCTATTATAAATAAAATTAATTGAACGGTGGAGTCATGTTTGTACACCTCGGTGGACTCCTCAAAATGAGAGCACTGTAGAGACTGACGCTTGATTGAAAGGTTTTGGAAAAGAAATTAGACAGTGAATCAAAATACAGATGAATCAAAATTAAAATATTCAAATGCACGCTGTTTCTTTGGAATCGCTGTGCCTTTGAGTAGAGAAAATAGAAGCTGAACTTCTGAAGAATGCAAGTATAAGGTTGAGCAAAATCCTAGGTTATTTTTGAAAGTTTCATTTCTTGAGATCTTTGTGCCGCCTTCAATTGACAGCTTTATATATATATATATTTATTTATTTATTATTTATCTATTTATAAATATATATGCACATATATATGCACGTATATATAAACAGATATATATGCGTAGGTATAGCAATATGTGTTCGACTTATCCTTGGATATCTTTGCAGAACAAATGAAAAAGTGCATAACGTGACAATTCAGAATCGAAGCTAGGAAGAATCTTATCATTGAGATCTCAACATTGAAAACCTTCAAGAGACAACCAACATTTTCATTGTATTTTGCCAATATTCAGAGTGTGTGCGTTTTCTCACCATGCAGGTTCCAGTACTTCTAGCTGTCATTTATTTTTTCCATATTCTCTTTCGAACGTCCGTAGAATACAGCTTGCGCGCCTCCTTGCAATCTCAAGGATAGCTGGCTGTCGCGTTCTATAAGGAGTTGGTTGTTAACAAACGATGAGGGTGGGGAAGGTGCAGATCGGCTCACACGCGCCACAACGAACAGCAATCACTCGGCCACGGTGCTCATGGTAAGTGTTGAATTGATCGAAAGAGTTTATAATCGATTAGAGCAACATCTGAATTGTAGGCGAAAGCGGAAGAACATCGGCGCCGTTCAGCTCTCCAAACTTGTCCTTGTCTTCGGCCGTATGCGGTTAGGCATTGTCCTGCTGGAACAAAGCGCGCTTTCGTCGGACTCATCTTGGATAGTTCTTCACTATATTGTTGTAGGCACGATCCAACTGTTGGCAACGAGCTCGCCATTATCGCACAAGTCTTTTCTTCAATGAAAGCGGATCAACGCACGCATATCATTCTGTTCAACAGGCTCTTTGAAGCTGAAATTAAAGAACTAGATATATAGATTCTTTCTGATTAGAAGGGTGCAAATGAAAAACCGATCTCATTCGCCGGAAAGGTAATTTCATAGGAGCGTCAGTCTCAGTTCGAAAGCGAAACCTGTGGCTGCAGCACCACGTCGCCGGTTTTCAAAAAAGCCTTTTTTGACGTTGCTACAGGCGGAGATTTCTTGGCTCTAGACGCGCAAATTTCTCGCCAAACAGACCTCTTTCTCTGGGTTATTAGTGGCCATTCGACAGCGTGATCGAATTTTACTCCAACTCTGTGCTTACATCCTAAAAAGACCGTTTCTCTGAAAGGTAGCAGGTAGAAAGAGCTGAAATACCATCTGCGATGAAATGCCAGAAAGCCAGTTCACGTGCGGTTGCGTGGGGAGGCCACGTGAACTGCTGAACTGATACTTCTTTATGTGTTCACATGCCCGAAAAATAGGTGCTCATCGCGTCAGCCACGCACACTTACGTGAATTAGTCAGATTAGCCCTTGGTCGCAGGTGGGAATACATCTTACTTTACCTGTTGCGTTTCAGAGAAACAGTATTTACAGGATATAAGCACAGCATTGAAAATCAAATTTGATTACGCCATTGAATGATTACTAATAATCCGAAAAAAGAGCTGTGTCCAGCGAGAAATATGCGCATTTGAGACATGGATTTGTGTGGAGCTCACAGCGTTATAAAAGGGTGTTTTGAAAGAACGGCGACATCGAGCTGTAGCCTCAAGTCCTAGTATCGAATGATTACTAACATTCAATGAAAAGTTCCCTTTCAGCAACTGAGGACGGCCTACCATTTGTCCTCTCCTAATCAGAAAGAATTCATTATATGTATATATATATACACATATATATATTTATGTATATATATATGTTTGCACACATGTATACACGCATACATTTATATATGTCTGTATGTATATATACGTATGCATGCATATGTATGTACATAAATACAAAACTGTCAATAAAAAACGGCACAAAGATCCTAAAAAAATAAAACTTCCAAAAATATCATAGAACCTTGCTCAACCTTTACCTGCATTCTTGCAAAGTTCAGCTTCTATTTCCTCTGCTCAAGGGCACAACAAATCCAAAAAACACTGTGCATTTTGATATCCTGGTTTTGATCCATCTGTATTTTGATTCACTGTATCTTTTCTTTTCGAAAACCTTTGTATCAAGCGTCATTCTTAACATTGCTCTCATCTTTATGCGTTCGTTAGGTGTACAAATATGACTCCAGCGGTTGATTAATTTTTTCTGCAATAATTGTGAAAATGAAATCATGAAATTCTATATTCTGTTTGAAGATGCGTTAATAACGTTACTTATTTATACGTTTTTATGTACAACATTTTTTATATAATTGTTTGCACTTTGAAGATGACGACATTCGAATCCGAGAACGTTATTTGTGAAAAGCTTTACTTCCAAGCTTGATTTGAAGAAAACCGCCGCCGGCGAAAATGGAGACTTTTGCATCGCACCGTGACCGGAGACGAAAAGTAGATTCCTAAAGAACTGAGTAGTGAGCAAAAACGCGGCCTCAGGCGGGAATCGAACCCTCGTTGCATCCTATCGGAGGACGCGTGCTCTACCACTACACCACGGAGGCGCATTTTGCGCCACCACTCATTCATATACTATTCTGCTCCACCACCCAAATCTAGAAAAGTAGATTTATTCTGGCAATCCAATCACAAGCGACCATGGATAGACCCCTGACACCAAGCAGAATCGAATGCAAAGCGGAATATTCACTGAAAGAAAGGTTTGTGACGCATTTGATGGGACCAGAAAATCGTCTCCTACTAAGAGATCTTGAATTTTGGTGAAACGGTCATTGATACACTTTATTATAGGGAAATGACCAAATCAAACCGTGAATGGCAGACCAAAGGATCGGGATGGGTGTAAGACACGACAAAGTGATTTTTTTGCATAATAACGCTCGGCCCCATGTTTTAAAAACCGAAAAACCGATCGAAAACGTCTTAGAAGAGCTGAGGTATAAGGAAAAGGGGGGTGGAGCAGCAGGGTGTCCAGTAGGCTTTATCTTACTCGCCTAGCTCTCCCGACATTGCACCGATAGACTACCGCTTGAAACCACCGAATTCAAATTACAAATCAGCACATTCTAGAAAAGTTTGATCAAATTTCGCCCACCTTGCTTGCCAGATTTCCTGCTCGATGGCATTCAAAACTACCAAAAAATTGGGGAAATCTTATTGTTAATCATGAGAGGGATTTCTATTGAAGTGTGTTTAGTCTAAAATACCCAGTTCCCTTAAAAGATTTTAGTCTTGAGAGGAAAGCTACATATATGAGAACACAACACATTTCCAACGTTTATTGCACACTTTTTGACAATAATGTAAATACGTAATCTAACAAATTTTCTGCAATGTACAACGGTCAACGGTAATTTAGCTTTATTCGCAATTTGCCACCGATCAGCAATCTACTATCATTGCGTAGAATTTGTACTTTTCACAATCAACAGTTAGTACTTCCTACTTTTTCAAAAGATCAATTAGTAAGCATCAGATCGTGCTTCTGCGAAACGCTTTTTCGCTTGGGGGCTTCCTTCCATGTCTGTCAAATTCTGCTGCAGCGGCGGCATAACGACTGTGAATTGACGCGCTTCTAAGCCGCAGCGTCTCACTTTCCTCAGCACTTTGAGCGTATATTCGCCTCGCTCTGATTGATTCTAAAACGTATCTTCAACAATGGCCAAAATGGAAGAAAAGACAAAAATAGTGAATTACCTTGTCTCTTTACCCTTCAGTTGCATTCTCAAATGTGCATATTCCATTACAACCTGGTCATCTTCAGGAGAAAAAGGTTGAGGGCCGATATGCCCTTTCGGCTCAGCATTAGTGGCAGTACTATAATCGCGAGATTAGCATAAATAATAACATTTTAAATTCCAGCAATTTGGATTCCTGTTACGTTTTCTAGGCTTGTATTCAGAGATTTTTATTTCTGTTATAGAAAACTTCAAGTAACGAGAAATTCAGGCGACTAGTAGAAAAGGCATGTGTATTGATAACTTTAGAATGAACCCATCATGGCGATGGTGCCTTCTTATCAGAAATAACGAGGTCAGCTCTTTTCTCAATTTGCTGCTTAGTTCGTTGAAGAACGGCTCGTGGATACTTGTGAAAAGTAAGGTGGTACTCAAGACTTGCACTACAATAAAGATGTAATGAGAACGGAGGGATGGAGAAACTCATTCACCTCGGTGTCCCGACCTTGATTTGTACCTTAGCTGGAGATGGAGTACTCTAAACTGGCAAATCTAAATCGATCCCAGAAGAAAAAACTATCAATGTCTAAGCCTCGACCATATATTTGAGTCCTTGAATAAAACAGGAAAAGATTGCAATTGACTTTACAATTTGAAGAGATGAAAAATTAAGAATTCTTCGTTGACCAATCTTTTAATAATGCGCCATGCATCCGGCTCCATACGTACCATCGTTCAAAGTTGGTGATTGCATATCTAACCCTTACAAAGGCTTGCGGTGACCTAGTAATGTATCAGTCGGTGCTGCTTATCCTTTTACAGAGAAGTCTGACAGTAATTCACTGACCCCGCAGGTATAGAAGGCTTGGTGAGTCCTCGGCGCGGAATCAAAAAATCAAACGCAATTGAGCTACTTCGCATGTGTCTCAGGGTAACACTAACCATTGCGTCACACATACGCCAGAGTTTGAACGATCACTAAGATATCTTGAAATCATTCGAACAAATAAAAATTTCGAAAGAATTAAGTAACACTCTGAGCGACAGGATCGTTCAGTTTCCCATACTCCTGCCTTTCCGAACGCACTCGTGCGGGTAGATGTAGCCGCCTCGCCGTGAGCGTGAGCTTTTCGTCTGTAGCTCTTTGACAGCGATTTGTGCCACTAATTCTTTGATCACATCGCCTACTTCATGGAGTGGAACCGTGTCATCAATGACTGACGAGCCAGTCAACTAGAAATTGTATGAACTATAAGTTTCTAATGAGCAAAGATTATCTTTCTGTACAAAGCATAGAAGGTAAAACTTACTATCGGAGCCTCTATAGAGATTTCAGATGCAGGGTCTTCAATAACCTTCAATGTAGGGTCAAGTATTGGCAGCTTCTTTTCCTTGATTGCCATCTTTTCGGCATTTTCGGCGCCTCGAATTGCCTACGTCTCCCTCGCAAATCTTCCAACGATTCTGTTGGAGAGCAACGACGTTCCTAGAAAAAAGTACGGTTAAAATCACATGATGTGGAATTTTTCAAAACTAAATTCAGAACTTGCCCTACGCTCCTGCATCACTTGCTGTCCTTCTGTGCCCGTTAATTCCGAAAGCGATGTGCTCCTCAATCGCTTCCTCAACGATTTCGTCCACTGTTAGAACATCCATGACGGTATCACCGTCCTGATATTCCTGCGGTTCTACGTGACTGCGATGAGCTGGTCCCTGTCCAGGCACATATACATCCAATTCCAATCAAGATTAACTCCTTTAAAATACATTTTCATAAACTGCAAGTCATATGGAAATCGCTTTTAACCCGGAATACTATATTACTAAAAATTAATGCTGATACAACACTCTGCCAAGCATTAGACTCCACCAAAGTTAACGCGAGTCTCAAATCTGTACTTGCCAGAACAGCATGTATCGACACCGAATATCTTACCCGACGTAAAAGTCACATAACCTGCAGATATCTCAGTGAGAAGTCTAATCGTCTAACAATAAAATTTGGGCAGTTGCTTAATCAGCGTCTCATGTGCTTTCTGTGTGTTCGTGCTAACCACTGCACGACCGACGCTCCTGTTCCTCCATCACTCTCCGTAATACAAGGTATTGATTCTGTCAGCACCGAACGCCAAGGCTTGGTCTGGTAAGCTCATATCGTCATCGAATGGTAGCACGAGTCCCCTGGAAAGGGTGAGACTCGAGTTCGACTCCAACTCAACGATCAAAGTTTCGCATAACACTCAACATTCCTCTTCATTCGACTGCATCTACAGACGTCGCTTACAAACAGTAATAAACTAATAATCTGACAGGAGCATTTTTTTCACTCATACAGTACTAAACAAGCGTGTTTCACTTTCCTTTAAGCATGTATAATATTACATAAGTGTCATATTAAAGCTCAAAAAAAGGCCCAAGACATGTTATCATACTTTCAAATTATTATTGTTTTCAAGTGAGGTCTACGAAAGCAGTCGAATGAAGTGATATGATTTATTTCGCCAGCCACGAGCTGTACTGTTGGTAACTGCGGTGTCGAGGAGTTTTATTAACTGATTTGCGGTGATTTGTTGTTCGGCGTCGATTGTGGGATTTTGAAGACCATCCTCGAAGAGGTCGTCCAACCACCTAATCTACTCCGCAAAAGATTTAGAATATCGCTCGGCATGTTCAACGAAATCCGGAGCGTTCGATGCGCAAAATGGCTCACGAAGTTCGAGATAAGAGAAGCAGCGCCCGAAACAATGTCAAAAATAAGCCGAAGCTGCGCATTTACAGGACTGCTTGTGTTCGCTTTCTGGACGCATAGATGAAAGAAAGCTTGTGTGGATTGTAGTTGCATCCATTGAAATGTACCTCTAATTTCTTACCTTTTTTACCCAACAGGGCACTTCCACTAGACTACTAGTAAAAATCGATACCTTGAGAAAGAAGATTTTACTATTCGACTTGATTTTTGAAAATACTGCAGAAAGAACTACGCTCTGCCTATAAACTAGATAACTTGTTGTTTGAACTTTACAATGGCTTTTTGGTGCTCATAAAATAAGATGTTATTTTGAAAAAAATTCTCGTTACGAAAAGGTAGATTGTTTAGTGGAGCACGTACTTCTAGCACAAAAAATGTCTGTATTTCACAGAAGTCCTCATTTTTCAAACCAATGCATCCTAGAAAAGACAACATTCTTTCAACTCTTACTGTACATTTTTGTCGTCCATCTCAATAGAGTACATCGTCAAAATCAATTTTCTGAAACGAAACGTCAGCTGCTGAATAAACATTGATTTAACGCATCGTGTTTGCCTTAGAGAAGAAAATTAGTTGATAAAGCATGCCGAGGTTAATGAATAGTCGGTCCTGGGAATTGTTCAAAAATTAATTTCAACAATCAACAACTCATATTGTCAGCATTGGTCAACAGCCATTTACCATTATCTATCGTTGCTAACAATCAGCAATTACGCATAATGCATAGAATTTATATCTTCGGCAATCGATTGTCAGATCCTCCTCCTTTTTCATAAGACCTTTAGCAGTTATCGGATAGCTTGAGAAAGGAAGATTTTGATACCGAGTTTGGTTTTCGAAAAAGCCTTCTTGGTGCGGTGTACCAGCGAATAGAAGAATATTCCTTGCTTTTAGGATAGTTGCGCTGTCTTTTGAACTTCATCGGGTTCTTTTAGCGGTTTTATGATAAAGATTGGATCAAGGGAGCACTTCATCATCACGGATGTACGACATATTATCGAGGAACTTTAATTCTTCATTTTCATAAGAATCAAGTCTGTATGTCATGTATGTCACAAAAACTAATATTTCAAAAGAGAACCTTCATCTTTGGGAAATGATCATACTTCTAACTGTC